AGTAGTAGTAGTAGTAGTAGCATTCTTAGTATCTTTAATTGGCATTTGATGCAATGTTTGTTGATTGTAGCAACTATTGAAATTATTCTCTGTTTCTCATTTGCACGGTTATTGTTATGTGTTTTGAACATTAGTACAAAGATTTTATTGCGTTTACTATTGTAGATAACTGTACTAGATGTTAATAATACCAAGAACAACAACATGAATAACAATAATCTTCATCATTTCTGTTGTAACCATCTGTTGTTATTCGCGTTGCTGCAAATATAAGAAAGTCTTTATTAACAACTATCAACAATGATAATGATGCTAAGAATCACAATGATAGTAATTAAAGAAGAAGAAATCTGGATTTTGGGGTTGGGGCTTCAAGGAAGGCTTCGGCTAAACCGCACCACGGCACTGAAACTCTGAACCTGCCGCACACCGCTAGAAGGATCAGAGCACTTTGCTCTAATTTGAGTGCGGTTCCGAGGAGTGTCTCCGGCATCCCCATCCAGGGTACTTGCAGCCCCAATTAAAGTCTGATTCAGACTTTCACATGGATTCGCTGACATTAATGGCGTCTCCATTTGCTTCCGCCTTCTTGGCATCACCCGCGAACACTATTTCAGCATGCACAGCTTAAGATCAGCTTCCAAGTGAGTAGGTGAACATCCAGTCCTATCTTCAAACCCTTAAGCCGCCAAAGTCATGAGCCTTGAAACACGTAGACATGATCTCTGCCAGCTGAGGCCCCAAAACACCAAATTGCAGATATTTTTCCACATGTACCCTTGTCATCGCTCTCAAGTGGCCGGCCCGCCCTGCATCTTCATAAAGCCAATCCGGATCGAAACTGCATCTTGCAACAAGTGGTGTTGTAGTGCACTGCGACAGCCAAGTCCCAGAGCACAGATGCCCCAGGCCCTTCACAAAATATTCGAAACCCCGAAACTCTGAAATCAAGATCGTAGCCGAACCCACACACAAGAACCCCAAAGCCCTGAAAAGCTGAATTGTGGAGTGCTGAAATTGAATCCGACCTGTATATGCCTAAATATATTAGAATAATGCGTTGGGGGTGTCCATACTCCAATATTTAAACCATACAAATACGTTTCCGGCCGTATAGAACGTCTGACATCCGAAAGGCCTGAAGTGCACCCAGTTCGCCCAAGCGATCGTGGTCCAAGAGGGAAAAAGCTGCACGCAGATCCTGCGGACGCATTATGCTACGGTTTCACAAAGGCTTTACCTCCAAAGATTCCAAAAGGCTTTGCATGCATAGAGTGTGACCTTAGTGAGTGAATTTGGCACGTCGACCTTCTTTGTCTTCGGGAGTTCAAGTTCTGGTGTGAATTAACCAATTCCGCAGAGAAGCGGTGCTCCGTGTTCGACAAACGTAATAGCAACACTGTAAACTCCAGGCAGACCCGTGTTTAATACTGTTTAATACACTCCTCCTCCTCCTCCTCCTTCCCTCCTCTTGAAGCACCACAGCAGTAGCAGTAGATATTTACTCAACGGAATGCGCTAATGCATCCAAAGCCCTAAACATCCCTAAACCAAACGTTGCATCCCTGAGCCTGCTCCGTGGTCAAAGCCACAGCGCAGCCGGGCAGCGGCGAAGGTGCACCCAAGCGATCGGCCTCCCGCCTGGGTGGATGTTTTGGCTTTATAAGACAGGCTTTACCCTGGTAGCGTTCAGGGCTTACAGCCGAACCTACAGTAGAAATCTGCGTGTTTGCTTTACAAGAATTCGCGCGGAAGGTTCAGACACTTCCAAGTTTGCATGGCTATGGCTGATGCGGACACGTGGGCACAAAGTTGCGACGGCGCTTTCAGGGAACCTCGGGCAACCTGAACATCATGCCATGGCGACATCAGTTCTGCATGCATTGCAACGGATAGTAGTAGCAGCATAACAGTGGCAGTGGTGGTTGGGCTCTTGCAAACAGGGCTTATCGTACATTGAAGCAGGAGGTGGCATGGCTCACTGCTGCGGCTGGCTGTCTGAACCGCAAGTCTAACTGCAATTCCTTCAGATGGCTGTCCCGCCATGCTCGTAAATGCCTCTTTTAACGACAAAACTCGGCCTTCAGCAGACATGTACTCTAGACTATGTGCAGTCGACATTATGAAGTTTATGTGTTGAGAGACGAGGTTTTTTCGAGGCAAATTACGGCAATAAAATTCGTGAAGTGTGATGTAGAAGAATATTCGCCTACGATACAGTTGAGAGCTGCGTTGCGAAAATGCGTCGTCACATCAAAGTTCGGCTGTTGCGAGTTGCGCGGCGTGGGCGGGACCTGGATGGTCCTCGTGCTTGGACACAACATACGGCACAGCTTCTACACAAAGGGACTGAACTGCAAAACTTGTCGAGTCACCTCCTCGCCGGGTACCTTTCGCGCATCGAGCTACAGACTGGCGGGAGTGGCGCAAAAACTCAGTCAGCATCCAGAACTTTGGACAAAATAGCGATGAGAAGCTGCGGCAAGTAGGCGGCAAGTAGGCAGTGACAACCCTAATGGTATATCATGCTCCTTGCGCTGTATTGTACCAAAAAGCCCTAAACCCAAAAACCCTAAACCCCTAAACCCTAAACCCCTGAACCCTAAACCCTAAACCCTAAACCCTGAACCCTAAACCCCTAAACCCTAGGCCCTAACCCCTAAACCCTAAACCCTAAACCCCAAAACCCTAGGCCCTAAACCCTAGGCCCTAAACCCTAAACCCTAAACCAGAACACCCCAGGGTCGCACTATGCCATCCCATGGAGTTGACTGAGGGATTCTAGAAACGCAGGGACTCCCAAAACTCCTTTCCTAGACCCCCCAACGACCCTTTGTTATGGGTTTAGGATTTATAGGGTTTAGGGTTTAGGGTTTAGGGTTTAGGGTTTAGAGTTTTGGGTTTGAGGTTTAGGGTTTAGGGTTTAGGCCCCAAATACCCACTTTCAAGGGTGGGGTCCTGGTAGTTAAGGACTATACCGGAAATCTCATACGGGTTCCTACTATAAGTTAAAAAGTTAGAAGTATACTCCTGAATTCCCGTATGGGTTTAGGTTTAGGATTTGGGGCTTCGGGTTTAGTTGAGGGCTAGGGCAGCGAAGGTTCAGGGTTTGGGGTGTAGGAAGGCAGGACGAAGTTCCGTTACGCTTCTGATTCTTGGCCCCGCACCCGAGCCCTAAACCCTAAACCCTAAACCCTATGAACCCTATAAACCCTAAACCCTAAACCCTAAGCCCTAAACCCTATAAACCCTAAACCCTACAAACGTATAAACCCTAAACTCTAAACCCTATAAACCCTAAACCCTAAGCCCTAAACCCTAAACCCTATAAACCCTACACTCTTCTTGCAAGGGTGCGCCAAAATCGAATCAGCAGGATCTCAAGGCCCCAAACTTGCAAACACTAAACGTAAGGCCTACGCTACTACAGTTTAGGGGTTCTGGTTTAGGGTTTAGGGTTCTGGGTCTAGGGCTTCGGGTTTAGGGCTCAGGGTTTAGAGTTTGTTAGGGGTTTAGGGTTTAGGGGGAAGTACGGGCATGCAAGGTTCATCGGGTGAATGTTTGCTGCAAGACCTGTCGAGGCTCCAAGCACGCGAATAATGATGTGTCCGCCACCACGAACCAACCAGAGTGTAGCTTCTTTGGGCCTAAATCCTAAAGGCAAAGTCCCCTGAGCCCTAAACCCTGAACCAAAAATCCGCATGAACCCTGACCCCTAAAACTTGAACCCTCCTGAACGAACCTTAAACCCTAAACCCGTATAAACCCCATACCCATATCCGCCTCAACCCTGGCCCCTAAACCCGAATGAACCCTAAACCCGAAACGGTAAACCCTAATACCCTTTCGGCACTTGGACCCTTACAGCGAACGAGCTCTTCTCTGATCTAGAATCTAGGGCAAACTTGTATAACATGGGCACCTGAAGAATTCGAATAGGGTTCCTTGAAGGGTCTCTTTTGCAGCAATTCAGCCTGACGGGGGTTACCACCATCAATTTGGGCAATGAATACACCTCGATGAGGCTGCCCTAAACCCTAAACCCCAAATCCCTAAACCCTTACCCCCCTTACAGCTTTACGGCTGATAACAGCTCACTGCTGTGCCCCTGATACTTCAGGAGGCATCAGCTTCGAGTGACTCTTAGCCTACCATAATAATAACATGTGGATGTGCCAGGCCCTAATAAATTCAACCTAAACCCTAAACCCTAAACCCACAACCTGAACCCTAAACCCCAAACCCAAACCCCTGAACCCTAAACCCTACAACCTAAACCCTAAAGCTTAAACCCAAAGCCCACACCCTATTCAACCCTAAACCCTAAAGCTTAAACCTAAACCCGAATCCCTACGCCCTAAACCCTAAACCCTACAACCTGAACCCTAAATCCTAAACCCGAATCCTTACACCCTAAACCCTAAACCCTAAAACCTAAACCCTAAAGCCTAAACCCTAAAGCCTAAACCCTAAACCCGAATCCCTGCACCCTTATGCTGAAACCCCGAGGCTTCCTTAAGGTTGCCTAAACGTAAGGTTGGGGTGCAGGTTCAAGGCTGATGTGGAGCAACCGCAAGATAAATAATACCTTAAATTATAATAGGATCCCTCATATGATTTAAGGTATATTCCTTAGTTCCCTTATAGAACCCTGATAGATCCCTTTAAGGAACCCCTATAGGAAGCCTTGGGGTTTGGGGCTTAGGTTTTTCCAGAAACCTCCCCCCTGCGTTGAGGACCCTATCCCTTAGACATTGATTCCCCCAAACCTCTAACCCCTACACCCCTGAACCCCAAACCCTAAACCCTAAACCCCAAACCCCAAACGCCTAAACCCCTAAACCCCTAAAGCCTAAACCCCGAAGCCCCCAAACCCTTTAACCTTGAACCCCAAAACCCCAAAACCCCCCAAAACCCCCCAAAACCCCTAAACCCTAAACACCAAGACCCCCGAAACCCTAATACCTATTCCCTAAACCCCAAAACCCCCTAAACCCTAAACCCCAACACCCCTAGAATCCCAAAACCCTTACACCCCAAACCCCCAAAACCCTAAAACCTATACCCTCAACAACCCCAAAATCCTAAACCCAAACCCACGGAATCCTATACCCCAAACCCCTAAAATCCCCAAATCCTAAAACCCCGTGAGCGGCGCCCAGCGGGAGCCCTGGAGCCTCATCGACCCCGAACCCGGAACCCGAACCCTTTTAGGGTTTAGGGTTTAG